ATTAAAAAGTTTATTTTTACATCATTTTTCACATTTTTTTTTTCATCTCAATTGTAATCCCCTTGGGTTTCCCATCACCAAATCACCCCTGTGCCACCACCATAGTCCCAACCACCTTTGTGATCATGGTATCTCCCCTGCCAGGTAAGTATGACACTAATTTTCTATTTAAACCAGTGAAAATTTCCTTTTAAAATACATTCATCTACATAATAATAGTAAATTTATAGAAACATTAAGAAAAATAATAGCATTTAAAAAAAAAAAGATTTATTTATACATACAAGAACTGGGGTGTAGGCCAGAAGTGCAAGGAGTGAGAGGATTCACCAGAGACAGAATGGAGAGCAGAACAGGCATATGTACTGAAATACACTGCTGAGGGGAGCAGCGGGCGGATCAGGAGGAGTCTGCTGCACCATGTGGGTCAGATCCCTGGTCATGGGGAATCTGCAGTGGCTAAGGATAGCTTGATAGCACTATCTTTAACCCCTGTGTCACCACGGAAGCCCAGCTCTTTTTTTTTAATTTAAAGATTTATTTACCTATGTATGCAGAACTGGGGTACAGGCTAGAGATGTGGGGGAATGAGAGGATTCACCACAGAGTGGGTTGCAGAACAGACAGATGAACATACACTGCTGAGAGAAGCAGTGGGCAAGACAGGAGAGATTTGTTGCACCATGTGGGTAGCTCCCTGGCCAGGGACTGAACTTGTGTTGTAGTGGCCGAGGATCGCTTCATAGTGCTGTGACTTATGCCCTTGTGTCACTAGGGAGGCCCCCAGCATGGACTTTACATGGCAGAAAATAGTGATCATATCAGGCAAAGGACTAAGAACTAGTAGGGATTTATGTTAATTGTGGATTTTGGGTCATCAGTATTCTGAATTGGACTAGTCAACAAAAAAGTTAAAATTGTATAAATAGGACAATAAAACCAAACTGACGTACGGTTAAAAGAAGCAGAAATACAAAATAGGCCCTAATAGTATTTATTATTAATCATGTTAGATTCCAGTCTATAACTCTGAGAGCAGTTTCTTAAAAACAATATTGATCTTCTCACAACTTTTCTGATATTGAGTACATAGCAGCAAAAATGCATTAAACTTCAAACAGGTTTTAAAAGAAATTTTTCAGTAAATGAAAAAGGGTTTCTAATTTAAATAATTTAACTATTTTTCTTCCATTATATTTTTCTGACTTTATTTGGTCTGTAGGGGAACCCAAGCTTTTCAATTTTTTTAAAAGATTTATTTGTATTTATTTATACATACAAGAATTATGGTATAGGCCAGAGGTATGGGGGGATGGGAGGTGAGAGGCTTCGCCTGAGACAAATGGGGAGCAGAACAGGCAGATCTGCTGAAAGAGACTGCTGAGGGGAGTGGGGAGACAGGAGAGGTCTGCCATGCCATGTGGGTCAGCTCCCTGGTTAGAAATTGGGATGGACTCATATTGCAGTGGCCATGATAGCTTGACAGCACTGAGACTTTAACCCCTGCATTACCAGGGAGGCTCTATTTCATTTATTTTTAAAGCTCTCTATGTGAGTATACTAGGCAGTAAGAATTGATAACTACTGAATCAAATATTACAGTCTCATATATTTGTTTTCATAAAGTGCTCCAAATGCTAAGAGTACAGTAAATAATATCTTAGTAAATTTATTACTTGCTCAGGAACTTGCTTTTTAGAAAATTTTTTTTTGGGGTCAGGTGCTTCTCTCCCCTAAAAACAAGAATTAAGATAGCACAGTATGAGTAATTTTTTTTTAAAGATTTATTTATTTATTCATACAGAACTGGGGTACAGGCCAGAGATGCGGAGGGTGAGAGGATTCACCAGAAACAGAGCGGGGAGCAGAACAGGCAGATCGATGAAGCACACTGCTGAGGGGAGCAGCCGGTGGGTCAGGAGAGGTCTGCAGTGCCATGTGGATCTTCTAGGGGCAGGCAGGGATTGAACTTATGCGGAAGTGGCTTAAGCTTCTTAGTGCTGTGCTTTAACCCACTGCGCCACCAGGGAGGGCCAGTATGAGTAATTTTTTAAAAAAATTAACTTTCTAGAAAATTAGTGTTCTCGGTCATTTTGTCATACCACAGAAAATCAGTTTATTCTTCCTCAAAGTGTTCTTGAACTTAAAATAAGGATCTGTGTAACTATCAAATGACTGAGTCAATTCCCTTTTAAAATTTATATTTACTTTTTAAAGTGCATTTGTACTATTTATTTATGCACTATACATTACTTATAAAATTTAATATATTTTGAGAAAAATTAGGTATCTTTAACATTACTGAACAATATCCTTCAAGTTTTCCTGAGTTTCTCATTTAACAGATTTCCAAAGAGAAATATGTGACATTGTATTTCAAATGCTCTATTAGTTTACACATATACGATCCTATCCTTGTAATGAAAAATTACAAGAAATCATCCCTATATTTCTTATTCAGGATAGCTTAGTCCACAAGTTGATCTATAGATATAAATGACAAGAAAACAGAATGATAAAAATGTTCCCAGGCACTCTATGTGTGAGGTAGAGTTTTACAATAATTTACAACAGTATGATTGTAATATCTTTTCAGAGGCTGCAGTTTTTGTCCCCAGAGACTGCACATGCTTTTATAACTAAGCTTAGTGAATGATACCCTCCTGACTTGGAGAGTATGGGCTATTAAATTTCTTTTCCATTGTTCCAAACAAGAGTTGTCTGTTTTGTTACTATCTTTGGATTTCTTTTCTATTCTAGGAATCAACTGCTCATGGTGTCCAGTGCTGACACTTTCGCCACTACTCAGGGTCTTTCTTTTTCCCCTGGCTCTGCACTAGTTTTCTTGTCATTGCTTTCACCCTCTTTGGCTTTCAGTGTAAATGTCAACCTTTTCAGGTCGACTACTCTCATTACTACTTTCCTTCTTTATGTTGAATAAGCTAATAGTACTCAAATACTGAATCCACCAGCTCTTTTTGACTGCATTATTTCAGGTTGATCAGGGAAACTTTTTTCCCTTAAATCTTAATTTTTTTTAAGATTTATTTATTTATGCACAGAGAACTGGGGTACAGGCCAGAGATGTGGGCGGGGGCTGAGGATTTACCAGCGACAGAGGGGAGCAGAACAGGCAGAATGATGAAGCACACCGCTGAAGGGAACAGTAGGCAAGACAGGCAAGTCTGCCTTGCCATGTGGGTCACCCCCTGGCTGGAGACTGAACGAGTACTACAGTGGCTGCTGACAGCTTCACTGTGCTTTAACCCAGTGTGCCACCAGTGAGTGCCCAAGAGTCTTTGTTTTGTTTTTACCAACTTCTAGATCTGGAACTATCAAAACAGTCAATCCTAGAATCCTCAGTTTTCAGGTGCTCTAAATAAACAAAATTTCTCTCCTGGGAAAGAATTTCCTTATTTTCTTTTAGTCAATGATTCCTTAAAACACTGTATGATACTTCATTATAAAATAATTTTACTTTGAGAATTCTACAATTTATTCTAAACTGTGTAACTGGTTTATGGTATTCCAAGATAAGGGTCAGGATCAAGTTTCTTCTCCATCAGTGATGACATGCCAATATTGTATTTCATTAGTGTACAATGCTGGCTTGGGAAAATTAGAAGGCATTATGGAGTAATGGAAAGAATACTAAGTAGGAATCAAGAGACCTGAACTCTAGAGATCTGAAACAGGCAATAAATTGCCTAATACAACTTTGGACAATTAAAAAGCCTAAAGGGACTAGAGAAGCTTCAATTTGCAAATTTAAAGACAAGAGGTGCCTTAATGTGTTTCCTTAACTCAAAAGTTACATGATAATGAAAAGGTAAAAATCTGTTGATAAGTAATAGCTGTTCCCTTAGGTTTTCAGAAGAGGAGAAAAGACAACATAATACAATGATGATAAACAGAAAAGATGTCACCATCTCTCCCCATTTACATTTTTATAGGAGTTCTCATAGGACAACACCTGGCTTGTTAAAGAGGGAACAGATCGACAAGATCCTATGAGCAGATCAAGCATTCAGGTTCAAGGGAATCGGCAAATCTGAGATAAACCACTTCTAGAAGGTATAGCCTATTCTTCCTATTCTCTTGTTCTCTCTTTTAGGCATGTTATTATCTGAAAGTTACAGTCTACCCTAAAGCTAATCAACATCTTAGGTAGGCAGACTAAGCCCAGAATAAAATCAAATTATGTAACATATTAAGAAAACCAATTTATTTTTTTCAAACAAAGGCATTTAAAAGAGATGTCATAGTGGAAAGGTAAATGGCAATCACTAGTTTATTATTACTACTGCTGCAACTACTGCTATTATTACTTTCCTCTGTATTTATACAGTATTTTTATTTGCCAGGTACTAACTGCTTCACATAAACTAATATAATTTTCATAACAGCCCAACTGAAACAGGTGTTATTAGCCCTGCTGTTCATCTGAGGAAACCAAGAAAGAGAGAGGATAAGTAACTTGTTCAAGATCATACAGCGAATATAAGATCAGGGCCCCAAAACAAAGTACAAGCCCACTAATAACCTATATTGATTTCTCATAATACAAAGCTAATGCTCACTGAGAACTTACTTTGTGAACCAGTTAAGTTTCTAAAACTGATTTATCATATGTTATCAACTCCTTTAGCCTTTATAAAATGTTATGGGGGAGGTTAGTGTCATTATTCTCATTTTACAACAAGGAAAAAACAAGGTCTAGAATGTAATTTTTAAAAGGTTATTTGCATTTAAAAGGAAGTTATTTTATTTAGTAAAGAACAATTTTCTAATTAATACAAATGTACAGAAAAGGCATCCTCTCCTCACACCTTCCTATAAATAAATTGCCATAAGTCTCTGCTACCTTCTCCAAATGGACTGATAAGCTTTTGTCTGGTTTCTTACAACAGTTAACATGCCTTCCTTCTCCTTTTAGCTTTCTAATTCTGAAAAAATTATTTTAAAATTCTTTATGGGAAAAATGTCAAATTATCATTTGGAAAATGGTTTCTAATGTTAATTGTGAAGTTAACTTTCTTAAACAGAAAATTAACACTTCTAATCTGAGGTTTTTCTACTTTTTTTGATGGAGAAAGTGAAAAAACGAAGGGCAAAGTATATGATATGGTTGACAGACTATGGACTGTCTATGGGTTTGATCTTCGAACTTGTACCTTGAGAAAGATGTAACCTTTAATCCCAGCCTCAGCTTCCCCACAGATATAGTGGGTATAACACCATTTATTCACAGAGGTTTTGTAGAGATTAATGAGGTATGTACAGTACACAATATATAGGAACTCCCATGCCCATTATTACCTTTCTCACCAGTCACTGCAAGGGAGGAAATTTATATGAAATTATAAGGCATATAGTCTGGTTCATAGTAAATAAGTATTTGTTTAGGTTTGGAACACTTTATTACTGGTTGGGAGTCACACGAAGTCTGATGGAACTGAAAATCCTATGAAAAATGTAGACAAACAGTAATCTTACTCACATATTTGACATATTCTTTCCACTGCTGCCACCACTGCATGGAAATGATAAACCAATTATGTCCTGGTTGTAGACCATACCTGCTCTCTCTCTCTAACCATCCTCTGTAAATACAAAAAAGAAAAAAAATCAAAATGAAAATGTATGAAACCAATGACCACATACATAAATTATCATAAGCTCTTATCAAGGGAAAACACAAGACAAATACACTGAAAACGTCAAGACTTCAATGAGTGAAACATTGATAAGCTAAATTTTAGAGGTCATAACAACACTATTAAATTTCTTTATAACAGATATTTATGAAATTGCTTTATTGAGGAATAATTTGCATAAAATTTAGCAGTATTAAGTATGCAACTCGATGATTTTGAAAAATTCACATATGTGCACAACCATCACCACAATCCAATATTAGAACATTTCAATTACTCCAAAAAGCTGCCCTGTGTCCACTCCTGGTCAACACACGTTACCACCCTAGAAAGAGCAACTCTATACAGATTTCCCTTTACAGAACACTTCATATAAATGGGATATATATATGCATAATCTTTCATATGTGGCCTCTTTTACTTAGCATAATGTTTTTGAGGTTCATCTATGTCATTTGTTTTGCTTTTTTATTGCTAGCAGTATTTCACACATTTTGTATCTACCTAACACCTAAAGACTATCTGAAACTATCAAACTGTTTTCCAAAATGGCTGCACCATTTACATTTCTATCAGTAAAATATGAACATTCCATTATCTCCACACTCTTGCCAAAATGTGTTGCATGTATTTTCTATCATAACTATTCTAAATGGCATAAAGTGGTGTCACACAGAGACTTTTAAAACACTAGTTTTATTGAAAAGAAATTTACAAAACATAAGGTAGCAATTGCAGAACATTTCCAGTGTACACCTGAATTGTATGCTGCAACTGCATACTAATTTTGGAGGAAACAGTGAAGATGACATCAGAGGAGGTGCCCTGCTTCATTCCAGGAAGATAATCTGAGAGTAATCCAGAAGGGCACTGAACACAGGATTCTCCAGTTTTGACATTAGAGACCAAGGTTGACTATACCAGAAGAGAAACTGATAAATATCAACTTTATGTAACAAAAGGTGGGTGGAAAGAGGTGCCTAGAGACTGCAGCTAGGGCAGGAGCCTGCAATACAAACCTGTCTTGTGTGTGTCTGGTGGCTCTGGGGAAAGGAGTACCATAAACACAGCCACCCCTGAATGCCACTTTACCAGTGACTGGACCCCTCTAGGCCCCTCCCTACCCCCTGAATCAGCAGCTGCAGATTAATCTCCCAGATATATAATGTACTAACTAAACACATAGTCATAAAAAGCTAAAAACAAACTCACAGTTCCATCTGCTGGAAAAAAGGAAGTTCTACACTTTTAGTTTTCAATTATAACTCAATAGACCTGAAAAAATGTCATCAGTGATTATCTACACTTGAAATGAGCAATTTTTCTTTTTGCTTAGTTCTAATTTCTAATCTTTCTACAATAAATATGAACTATTTTGTAGAAAAAGTACTGCCTTTTGTCTTTTTTATTTAAAAAAATTAGTACTAAGTGCACTTTTAATGTTAAATAGAATTTAGTCTCTAAATTAATCCAATTCATTAGTTAGGAAGTTACTTTAACAAAAGTATCTCAGTATAAAAACTCTGGAGAAACAGTATTACTGTAATGATTATATTAAAATGGGACCTGTTGTTAATAACAACATATTCCAAGTATTAGAAATTTTGGCTATAAAATTAAGAATACATAGATTGAAGCTACATACAAACTTACCTAATAATCTGTCCTTCCTCTTCTGGAGTAGCTGGTCTTAACCCTAGAACTATGTGACAAACCTAGAGAAAAGAAGGGTAATTTAACCTTTATAAATGAACTGTATAGTATTTTTCATTCTCTGTATGAAATCTACTTTGTTGATGGGAATCTGAATTAGCAACAGCTTTCAACTAATGAATTATCAATGATGCACTTCAGTAAATTTAACTGGAGCAGGTGGAGTGGACTGAAAGGAGACTGGCTTCTTAATTTAGACTTTGACTTTATATCACCTTTTCCTTTTCTTTGGGAGAACAAGACCGAGAGCAAAAATTACAAAACATTTCACAAATCTGCATGTCATCTTTGTGTGGGGCTGCAAATCTTCTCTCTATCGTTCTGACACAAGTGCTGCTAAAGCAAGCACCATACCATGTACTTTTAAAACCTAAAACTACCTACTATGAGCATCTTTCTCTTCATAGTGCCTCAGTTGTAAGGAAGAGTCCTTTAAAAAGACAACAGTGAATCATACCAGCAATTTATAATGGCTGTTGTAATTTAGATTATTTTCTATCATGAACTATAATAAACAAACATAATCAGCTTTGTTCTGCTTTCTTATTACCTATGTCATGATTTCAAGAACCTTCTGTGGATACTCATGATGTACTTTTAACATTTTTCAGATAAAGTACAAGATAAGGTAGTTTTCTTCAGAACATGTGGTTTTCTAGCCCAGAGGAAATTAACTCCACATAATGGAAAAAATATAATACTAAGGCAATTATTACTCTCTGTACCTTTCATTTACATACCTGGAAAAGGAGATTCAAAAATTCATTGGCAAGAACATTTTTCACACTCCAGATCTGATAATCTTCTAGAGTAAGATGCCCCATCTGAAAGAGAAACAATATTCAAAAACATCTCATGTTAAGATTATACTAATTTTTATAAGCATTTAAATAAAATTTTATTTACTGAACTTATGTCAGTCATTTGTTAAAAGGAAACAAGTATTTTAAAGCAGATGCTGTATGCTCAGATGAAAAGTATAACAGCTACATAAATTTGAAAATAACAAAACTCTGTTGAAGCAGTCAATGGTGAAGAGGACAGTTTAGCAACCATCTTCCAAGAAGACTTTGGAAATAACTGAAAATAGTTTCTGGTTTAAGGCTTACCTATGGAAAACTTCTGAAGGATCTAAGTAGGCAAAATGGAGTATTTACTAATTCTGAAAGTAAAAAAGTCTCTGTAATTATGCCTTTCATCCTAACAATTTTCTAAAACTTTCTTAGAAATACCAAATGAAGGCCCTCCCTGGTGGCACAATGAGGTTAGGAAGCAGCACAGCAAGTTGGCTGTAGCCACCTCAGTGAGAGTTTGATCCCCAGCCCGGGAGGTGATCCACATGGTGCTGCAGACCTCTCCTGACCCACCCGCTGCTCCCCTCAGCAGTGTACTTCGTCGATCTGCCTGTTCTGTTCCCCACTCTGTCTCTGGGGAAGCCTCTCACTGCCCCTGCACCTCTGGCTTGTACCCCAGTTCTGTATGAATAAATAAATTAGTCTTTAAAAAAAAAAGAAAAGAAATACCCAATGACCGTAACAGACAAGATATTTAAAGGACTTAAATATACATAAAAAAAATGAACATCTATATTACATTTCCCCAAAATACAACTGTCATAACTTTTTTGGTTGAGTATCTTTGTGATTCCAGTGTATTTTCAAAGTATCAGTACATACACACATAGTGTACAAGTTTATTTTTCCTTGTTAGGCAAATATATACCTGTTTGTTACTTTAGGGGTTCAACATTTACCTAATAATCCTAGATGAATAATAAAATGTTGAACTTTTACTATTTAATGAATTTGGTATGCTCTTTTTTTCATGATGCAGTAGCCATATATAGTAAGGAAAGATTTTAAAGCAATCTGATAATTATTTACTTTCATAGTACATAGTACTTACATAGTACTTTCTCATAGGTATGCTAATATCCTTCTAAAAGTACAAAATAATAGGCAATATTAACACTTTGTAGTTATAGTGAATATTGTTAATAGATTTGGTCCAAAGCGTCATTCTGTTCTATAAATTGTTAACATTTCATTGTTATAAATACATGGAAATGGAAGAGCTAGTTAATTTCTTTTAAAAATTCACAACAGTGCTAAGAGTAGAAACTCCATCTTCCATAAAAATAGACAGCAATAACACCTATATATTTACCAGAGAAAAAGGCATTAGTTCTATCACCCTTAAAATCACTATTCTAACTTCTGTCACCATTTGTTATTATTGCCACTGTTTTTGAATGTCATATAAATGGATTCATACAGTATGCATTCTTTTTTCAATAAAAATTGTGTTTACTAGAAGCATTCAGAATGTCAGCAAAACAGCTGCAGCTTTTTTTTCAACTACAGTGGTATTCAGTTAACAAAACAGAAATGATTTCTTACAGACTACATCGGAAACAAGTGAAGATCAAAAACTACCATCTCGCTATACAACTAATTTGTATCATGCAACAAGAAACTGCTTTGAATTTCCATGCCAATTTATAACCACATACTGTACCAGGCTAGGTTAATGGCTCCTGAAAATATCTCCATGGTAGGGATATCTAAACAAAAAGGCACTATGGTTTAAAAATAGATCTTATATAGCTTTACATTTTAATTTTTTTCTTTAAAAGTAGCGAGCTATATACCAGGGGATTAAATGCTTTACTGACAAGGAAAAAAACTGCTAGAACTAACATATTTATCATCATTTTCTGTATCTTTCTTCTCTTCTTCAACTTCCTTTTTTTCTTACTTTATTCAGTTTTGATGACTCCTTTTTTGGTCACATCAGGGCTTCCTTTAGCTTACAGAAAACAATCTTTACATACTTTTCCTTCGGTTTAGCAGTCTTCTTTTCATAAAGTTGCATGTCACCTGCAGCACTGTTATTTCACATCTTTCCCAGTTTCTTCACAACATCACTGATAGATAGGCCAGGATGTTCTCCTTTGACTTTTGGGTGATACTCAGAACCAAGTAAGAAATAGGATGAAGGAAGCCTTTTGTGTGCACTGAGGAACTTGCATGTTTTTGTTTCCACTTTGGGGGCTATGATTTCGTTTCTCTTGTCTGCCTTTGCCATGTCTCCAAACTTTCCTTCCTCTTAAGCAGACATGCTCTCCCACCTCTCTGAGCACGTCTCAGAAAACTCTAAGAAGTTGACTGAAGCATTTGGGGTACTTCTTCTTTGTGCTCCTCCCAATAAGTTTGAACAAAAAATAATGATATTGCCTCTCTTAGGATCTCCTTTGCCCATGTTTGATTATTATTTCTCAGCAAGGCACGAGCTGCCCAGTGCCCTTCTGGCTCACTTGCCCCAATGCTGTGTCTATAGAGCCGAATGTACTGCAAAGATTACCATGTATTTCTTGTGTGGGCCTGTGACTTCTTTTGCTCAATATAAGGTTAATTTTAACATAATTTATTAAAATGGAAATATAAATATTATAAAATGGAAAAATAAATATTACAAATTATAGATGATAATGACTATATCTACTTTGTTTTTATATAAATCCTAGTTTCAAAAAATCTGATTGTTTCTGATAAGTCTTATATTTAATATAGCTAAGATAAAATGGGCTTTCTTTAGATACAACTTGAGAGATATTTAAACACAGATCCAGTGAAGTACTGGATGGGGATGCAAAAGAGACTCAAGAGTGCATGCAAGCTATATACTCCAATTTAGAATACATGGATGGCATTTTTAGAAAATGATAAATTAGTCCTAGCTAGACTCACCTTTGTGGTGTCATGGGCACTCAGTATGCCTTCTACAATGTCAGATAGATCTGTATGTAATTCCTTTAAAGACAGAAACCCAAGAGAGTAATTAGAAAAAAAGTAAATATAATTTTATTTCAGGGCCCTCCCTGGTGGCGCAACAGGTTAAAAACACAGTACTGTGAAGATGGCCGTAGCCGCTTTAGCATGAGTTCAACCCCTGGCCAGGGAGGCAACCCACATGGTGTGGCAGACCTCTCCTGACTTGGTTGCTGCTCCCCTCAGCAGTGCATTTTGGTCAAATCTGCCTGTTTGGCCCCCTGATCTGTCTGTGGTGAATCCTCTCACACCTCCCCCCGCACCTCTGGCCTGTACCCCAGTTCTGTATGCATAAATAAATCTTTTAACAAATTTTTTTTTATTTCAGTGGCTAAAGTATACTGTATTTGGGTCCAGGATGTTTTTAATTACCACAAACAGATTATTAGTGTGCTTAAAAATTAAAACAACTTTTTTTTAATTAAATGTTTAAGACAAATCCTTTCCCCAATTTTATACTTCAGCTATGAATTTTTTTAAAGATCTATCTATCTATCTATCTATCTATCTATCTATCTATCTATCTATCTATCTATCTATCTATCTATCTATCTATCTATCTATCTA